GGGTGTATCTGAAGCCTTGAGTGTTATATGCTTATGTGAATATCTGAAAAATGAGCCCGAAGAATCGAGTCCCCAAAACCCGCGCAGCCATTGTTCAGAATATTGATGGTAACTGTTCATTCTGTACGGCCCTCAGCTTGCTCCAGGAACCAGATCACAAACGGGTGTGAGGGGAGCGGGGGAGGTGCGGGCAGAGCCTTGTCGAAGTAATCCAATCAGGAAGAATTTAGTCCAACAGCTCAAGGCCATTGTAGGGGAGAGCCAAATCTGTAATCGGTTGTTTTGGGAACAGAAGAGTCAGGCAGACGATAACAATTTTCCATCTGCTTCAATGTCTGCTGGTACAACTCAAGGTGGCGAATCCAATCGGATAAATACTGTGGACAATTCTGTCGAGCCGTGCTATCAGCTATCTCCAAGATCAATTCCATATGGCCAGCAAATTCCAGGGACCACACCCGGCCCGCAACCCTCAGCAGAACTGCTTGCAGACTGAGTCCAGCTCGCTCAAGGCAAATGTCCGAGTGCTGATAGTACGGCCACCCATCAAATTGGTCAGTCAGCCAGGAAATGAAAAGCCACCGACAATGTTTTATAGAACACCAGGAGACCACCAAGCCCATCTGTAGAATCCAGTGATTGGAATCCAGATATATATATATATATATATATATTGTAGTGTGGAGGTGCTGCTGCTGTAATTTATTGGTACCAAAGGTCCAAATACTCATAACACAGGAAGTTCATAGTCCCTCTTTGATCACTGTACTGTGTGTAGCTCGTGTCTCAAGACTCTTCTGTAATCATGGAGTTCAGCTCTCTTCTCTGTGGCTTTCTAATGAAGTACAACCAACACTGTGAGTGGACTGTGGGGCTGCAAGTGGAGTAAAATTATCAATACCATGGATATACATTACCTTTACCATGAGGTCACGCTTCAGACAGGAGGTACTTGTATATTTGTGCATCAGTACTGTAACTGTCTTCTACTGAATCAAAGTTATTTTTATCCGGGGAGATCGCAGAGGTCACCACAAGCCTCGGATTACCGGATGTGTGCTCATYTGTTTGCAGCAGCTGCTGTACTCTGCATTTAATCCTTTTTCTTACATGGAGACTGTTAGATAAAATGTTGTTTTTGTCCTTCAATGAAAGCTGAATGCATGATTTTAACAATAAAGGCAGTATGAGTATCTGGCGTTGCCTGGTTTAAAACAAAAGGACATCTCAGTTCAGGCACCACTTCTCTTTAAACAGGTGGAAGGGGAAGCCGAGCAGCGCTGGTGACGCCCACTCAGGTCCAAAAAAGGCGAATCGAACTAATGAGTAGATGCTCAGATTGTCAACAAACTAATGTTTTTGTTTATTGAAGCTATTCTTCAATAAATCAATCCCTCCTGATGCATCTGGCCAGGCTTTTCTTTACTTCTTTAAACTGTCTCTTCTTCTCCCCTCTCTCACTAGCATATCTTGCTTTGGAGCCTTCCTCTTATTCCCACCCTGGCTCTCAGAGCCTCTCCAAAGGTATCTTTCTTTCCTTGCCTGCTTGATCGATTCTCTGACTTTCTGCTTAAGCAAAAGAGTGAAAGTGGTGCCTTGTTTTTTTTTTTTTATGCATTGGACAACTGAGCTTAAAATCTGAGCCCCTCTTTGTTTCGTTTTGCATGTAGCTGCAAAGAAAAGATTTTCATTATAAAGATCAACTGTAAAAGCTGTTATTACAGTTGAACTGTTGTAGATGGTATCTCTTTGGGCTGTGTTTGAGTTGATGACTCAGGCTTTATACAGGTAAACAACATCTGGACACCATTAGAGTTTGTCCAGTGTTGATTGTGGCGCTCGTTGAATCTGGTGTAGCTTACATGCCGGGTTAATAGCTGGGCACTGTGAGTTTTGGCTTTCAACAAGACGCAAAAACATTTCAGTCTCCATCATGTCGTGAACATYCATTTGAACCGAGGATGAGGTTGGGTGAGCAGCACAAACGGAACTCTGCTATCTATCAGAATTGTTGTTCATCTTGTTGCATCAAAAAACATAGTGCAATTTCATATTGATGCCGGGTATTTCTAAAAACCTCCACTCTGAGACCTAGATTCATAAAGTTTTGGTGTCAGAGAAAACAAACAATGTTTTAAAAAATTGGCAAAACATTTTTTGAGCCTAATGAATTCTGAGTGACCAGCAAACAGCGCGGCCACATTTTACGMAGCCATTTTTTAAAAATCTCGACCTACTTTCTAGGGGTGGGAATCATTGACATATCACATATTCCGTTTTTCAATTATTAGATTATAATTGGAATATGTTAAAGCCTAAATTACATACTTTATGTAAACAAACACTGATTTATACATTTTTGTGATTAACAGAACATCTGTCTAAAAAGCCCGTAGGCCAATGTTTAGCATAGATGCTAACGTAGTATTGAAAATGCCATAGAAAAGCTAAAACATTTAACACTTTGTTTATTACTGGCAAAACAAACAATTTAAAGTTACATTTAAYGTTACAATGACTTAAACTGCTACTTAAAGGGATCCATGATTAGTTGTAACATTAGACTTTATTTGATAAACATATATTTTAACTGTAAAATAAAGATTATAAAAATACAGTAGGACGTTTAGTTTTTATAATTTTTGTAAAATATATTTTAACACGGATGGAGCTATTTTGTTTACACACAAAGCATTCTGGGTAAATGATGACGTGGATAGGTCCTCTGTGCGAGGCTGCTAGCGAGCTATATCCACCCTAAAGGTTAATCTTGGACAATATCTGATGATTGACTCTTTTAAATGAAACCAGAGAGCGTTGACAGAGAGGAGAAGGTAGAAATGACTCAGCCTGGAACTGAAAATGTGGATGGAGGACAACAGAGCTGCTTCATGGAAGAAGAACCTCAACTTAGCCTGTTAGCTTTGACATTAGCCCCGATGCTATCACCATATATATGTATTAGCTCAGTACTACAGATTCTCCTCTCGTCACTGAGGTCCTCCATCCACAATACAGAGAGGGGAACACAAAAATGACTCAGCCTGCAACTGAAAATATGGATGGAGGACCTCAGTTTAGCTTGTTTGTTTGTCGCGCTAGCGCTGAGCTAATACATATAAGGCAATATAGAGTCGGCGCTAGCGCGAAGGCTAACAGGCTAAGCTGAGGTTCTTCTTCCATGAAGCAGCTCTGTTGTCCTCCATCTATATTTTCAGTTACAGACTGAGTCATTTCTACCTTCTCCTCTCTGTCAACGCTCTCTGGTTTCATTTAAAAGACTCAATCGTCAGATATTGTCCAAGATTAACCTTCAGGGTGGATATAGCTCACTAGCAGCCTCGCACTGATGACCTATCCACATCATCATTTACCCAGAATGCTTTGTGTGTAAATAAAATGGCTCTGTCCGTGTTAAAATATATTTTAAAAAATATATAAAAACTAAACGTCCTACTGTATTTTTACAGTCTTTATTTTACAGTTAAAATAAATGTTTATCAAATAAAGTCTAATGGAACAACTAATCGTGGATCCCTTTAAAGACGTGTATTATTTGGGGTCAGCAAACTTTTCTGCAACGTGTTGCTACTACAGGAAGCTATGAAGACAGGTGACTCTACGAAGAGAAACGATGCAGGGCAGCAACTGCTCATCCAGTTCTTAAAATGACAGTGCAGATTAATGTTAACATCAGCCCTAACTAAATTGCAAATAGGTCAGTATGAGTATGAATATGCTGAACACGTAAAATCCAAGCGACAAAACTTAGCTTCTGCGACTCATGCACGGATATGGAGTACTCCGTGAATATTTTGAGACGTTTCGGAGATGAGTGCCATTCGTCAGCTAATGGTCGCAGCCTGTTGAGATACTGCCTTTAGTTTGTGTTTCTATTTAAAGCTAGTTTTGCTCCTGCTTTAAATTGCAGTGTTGTTGGAGTCACAAGGTTTTGTTGTAGCGCTTCCTGTGCAGCCTGAGCCACTTCCTGCAAGAATCTCCTAATATTTCTGTCAGAATAAGTACAAAGTGAAATAAAGAAATTGTGTAAAGTTTTTTTAAATAGYGTTAGATGTAATTTTATGACATTTTTGAAAGTGAGCCTGTTCACGATGAAAAGCTTTTACGTGCAGACTAGCCTTTAGCTGCTAAAGACAGTTTCTCCAAACTGAAGCTGGTTAGGAAAATACAGCTAAAAGTCTTTGAAGTCAATGATTGGCTGCAGGGTTTTAAGATTTGAGTTAATTGTTGCTACAACAGGGTCATGTGACTCTAAATATTGTTGTCTGTTGAGAGCTTTCAGTTGTAGTGAGTAAATCTAGCATGCTGGGCTATTTTTGTGTGGTGTTGTGTATTTGTATTTGCGAGTTCTAATGTTTAATGTTCCCTCCGTTCAGTCCTCAGTTCTGATCGAGTGGAGCAGATGACCAGGACCTACAATGACATCGACGTGGTCACACACCTTCTGGCTGAGGTAGGTGTCCTTCTGTTAGTGGAAACTAATTTGTTTTGTTTTTGTTTACTTGACTCTGTGGCTCTTTACTGAACAGCGAGACAGAGACTTGGAGCTGGCGGCTCGGATCGGCCAGTCGCTTCTACAAAGAAACCACCTGCTGCAGGAACGTAACGAGGCCCTGGAGGAGCAGCTGACCCAGACCGTGGACCAGGTGGGTCATTTCCAAACATTCACAGTTAAACCAGGTCCCTGAACACAACTGCCCTCCATGTTTTAGATGCTTCTCTGCTTCAGCACCCTGATCTGAATGAATGGGTGATTAAGGAGCTTTTGCAGAACCTGAAGACCTGCTGCCGGGTGTAAGCTAAACATTGAGTCAGGTGTGCTGGAGCAGAGAAATAACAGGAACATGCAGGAGCTGTGGTGGCCAAATTCAATCAGCTTTACTCCAAAAGTTAAATAGTTGTAAGGACTAAAATCTTCTTGAATTTTGCAGGTCAACCAGCTACAACATGAGCTCAGTAAGAAGGACGAGCTGCTGCGGATGGTGGCCAGCGCCTCGGAGGAGAGTGAAATGGACTCCAGTACATCCACCCCCGTGCTGCACCCCCAGCTGGGGGCGACCGCCGCCGCCACAGCAGCTGCCCTCAGCCAGCTGGAGTCTCTGCAGAACAAGCTGCAGGAGCTGGAGGAGGAGAACCAGTCGCTGAGGACTGAGGTAGGTTCTGTGGAAATTCAGACTGATCTTCCTGCTGGGGTCTGTAAGAATCTGGGTTTCCACTGCTGTGTTTACAATGAAACCTCTTCTTTTAACAAAAGTCTGTAAACGTCATTCTTGGCACAACGTAGAGCTTGTTTTCAGTGTCTCTGATTCTGTTTGTAGACAGGTTCTCAAGGTGCAGTCATGGAGAGTAGGGTGTCTGGTTTRGGAACTACAGGATCTGGTTTCTGCTTTATGCAGATGATGTAGTTCTGTTGGCGTCTTTGGGCCAAGATCTTCAGCGTGCATTGGGGTGGTTCCCAGTGCATGCAACTCAGAGTGTGAAGCGACTAGGATGACAGTCGGTTCTTCTAAGTCTGAAGCCATGGTTTTCAACTGTGAAGGGGTGGAATGCCTCTGCCTCAAATGGAAGAGTTTAAGTACCTGGGTGTCTTGTTCATGAGTAGTAGGATGGAGCGGGAGAAGGATTGGGGTACAAAGCTCTAGATTTACTGACCTGTCTATGTTCCAACCCTCATCTATGGTCATGAGGCATGGTTCATGACTGGAGGAAGAACGAGATCCTGGATACAAGCAGGTGAAATGAGCACATCCCTCTGGTAGGAGGCCCCAGGGAAAACTCAGGAGTCACTGGAGCGATTATGTATCCAACTGGTCTGGGAACACATCAGAGTCCCTCAGAACGAGCTGGAAAGTGTTACTGGGGAGAGGGAGGTCTGGGTTTTAGAGGACCTGAGGACACCAGTTATGGAGGTTTTGGAGGACTTGAGGACTTTGAAGGATTTTTTTGTTATCATAAAACATTAAATGTTTTCATGATGAAATTACTGATTTTTACAGATTATAATAATCTGTTGATCAGATCATGAACTGTAGATGATTATTATTCTGAAATTGTTCCACTATTGTGATTGTGAATTGTCCACTTGAGATGGACTTGTCCAGGGTGTATCCCGCCCCCTGCAGTGACTGCTGGATAAGGGCGCCAGTGACCCCCATGGCCCTGAAAGGAAGACCCTGGTATAGATGATGGATGTTCCACTATTTATTCAGACCGTTTTTCTCAGCCTGCACATCTTTAGTTCTAAGATGCTTTTTTTATACTCAGTCCTCAGACTGAGTTGTTGATAATTAACCTCATTAGTTTAAAATGCTCCTCCAGATGTTTCTTCTTCGTACATCTGACTTTGACAAACTTTCATTGCTCCTCTCCACCTCCACCCCGTCTCTCCACCCTCCAGGCATGTCAGCTGAAGAGGGACACGATGACGTACGAGGAGAAGGAGCAGCAGCTTGTGAGCGACTGTGTCAGAGAGCTACGTGAGTCAGACACACTCAAACACAAAACTAACCATTTTACAGGAAGTTAGTTTTAACGCAGTGTGTCTGTCGGTGTCGCACCTTGCCGCAGGTGAGTCCAACAGCCAGATGGTGTCTCTGACAGATCAGCTGTCCCAGAAGAACGAGGAGCTGCACAGGCACCAGGAGGAAATCGCTCAGCTGCTCTCCCAGATAGTAGAACTGCAACACAGAGTGAAGGAGGTGAGAAGACCTGAACCGTTGTTTCTTTACATCTTCTACTATTAAAAAGAAAACTCATCCTGTTTGTGTGTCTGCAGCTGGCTCTGGAGAAAGAAGAGCTGAGGATCCACCTTCAGGCCTCCAAAGATGCTCAGAGGCAGCTCACAGCAGAGGTACAGGATTTATACTTAGTGCAGGGCTAGTTTTTATCAACAATGACTTTGTGATGTTCGCAGTGGCACAGATACGTTTTTACACTTTTGTGAAGGTTTGTCACTTCTCAACACTATAAGTGTGATCTGGACACCAACCTGCCAAATTATCTTCACCAGCCTATAAGTGTGTTATTTTTATTTGACATGAAACAGAAGTGAGAACTTAAAGGAGACATATCCTGCTTTTAGATCCATCCTTTTCACATTTAAATCATACAGTCTGTGTCTATATAAAGGCCCACAAAGTTCTGACCAATGTGGTCCTGGGGCTAAGGCAAGATCAAAACAACTAAAATTTCAGTAACTTTATCAGTGAGATATAATTTTGGCAAATTTCATCCAATATAACCCAAGTTTTAGATGGTTGATTGTTTGGTTCCTATGCATTTTTTATTCTCTATTTTCATCAGGGTTTGTGAGGATTATGTTTAAAATCTATAACAATCAAAGTTGATTGATTGATGTTTTAAATAAATCTGTGTGTTTTTCATGCAGCTGAACGAGCTGGCAGAGAGGAACGCCGAGTGTGTTGAAATGCTCCACGAGTCCCACGAAGAGATCAGAGACCTTCGCAGTAAAAGCACTTCCTCTGCTGGGATGCGACGACACTTCCCCTACGGCCTTTACCCCATGGTTAGAGAACTAATTAATATCTTCTTATTATCCAGCTTGTGTGAGAAAATAACATTACTGCCTTACCTGTGAACATACAGGAGTCATTGGCGGCTGAGATCGAGGGCACCATGAGGAGAGAGCTGAGTGTTGAGGAGGAGACTGCCATCCAGGACCAAAGGTTGGAGACCTAAATGTCCCAACACAAACTAGAGGGAGCCATTACAGTTAGTTTTTATTTCAGATCCTTGTCGTGATGTTTTTTTTTCTTTTGACAGAACAGTCCAGAAACGGATCTTCCAAACAGTTCGCTCAGTCAACGCCTCAGCTTTGCGAGCTTCTTCGGCCACGCCTCCCATCCCCGGCTCTGGACAGAGCTCTCTGGTGATGACGGCGCAGCCCTTCTCGTCCTCTCAGGGGTAACACCTGTAGAATTTATCTTGTTAGGTTAGGTTTAAATCCGATTCTAAACCTCTCTGGTGTGCAGAAAGACAATGTGTGTTCTGCATTAGGCTACATCATCCTGAGTTTATTTGACAAAGGTCCAGTTCTGCGTTGTGGATGGATGCCCAAATAGGCGGGAAAAAGGGAGCAGAATTTGGTCGATGGAGCTAAATTGGGCCTTTAAAGTTTTAAAGTTTGTTCAAAAAATGTTTTTGAAACCGAAAAACAAATTTGAAACTGATACTGGTATATTTTTTGATTGTATGATACAATCATGACATATTTTTAAATTATATGACAGAACTGCCAGCCATGTTTATTATACGATACAATAGCCTGCCATATTTTATCAATTATTTTATACGACTGTCTGTCATACATTATTAATTATATGATAAAATGACCTGCCATATTATGTTAATTATGACACAGCTGACTGCCATACATAGTTATTTATATGATACACCAACCCGCCATATTTTAAAATTATGACACAACAGAATGCCATATGTTGTTGTTCATATTATACAACGACCTGCCATATTTTTAAATTATATGACACAATGGCATGTCATACAAGGTTAATTGTGTGATAAAACAACTTGTCATAATTTTTAAATTATATGACACAACGGTCTGCCATACATTAGAATTATATGATGCAACAGCCAGCCATTCATTTATTTTACGACACGTCATGCTATATATAATTATACAACACAAGTAGTTTTGAACCTTTTCATCAGTTTCAAATCTTTTTTGTTCACTTTAAAAAATTGTTTTTCGGTTTCAAATATTTTTTTATTTATTTTCTCTTTGTTGATTTTCAAGGAAGTATCATTTACATCATCTTAGATCTCTACATTCCACAATTGACTTTTAACATTTATACAAAGTGGACAGGTTGATCTTTGCATTGTAACAGTCACTTCCTTTTTCTAAGAGAGATTTTAAAGTAGGAAGTAAAAGGAAGTGTGATAGAGTAAACAAAGGAAAAGATTAAATTAAAAGTATAAAAACACAGGTTATAAGAGAAAAAATAAAATAAAGTGCATCAACAGAAAACATAATATAAAATAATTATCATGTATGGCTATCTTAGGGAGAGTGGATTGTCGAGGAGATTTCATCAAGCTTAGTCTCTAAAAATGAGATCAGATCTTTTAGGTTTTACATAGTCTACCCAGATCTGCCACCATTRACAGAGTTGTTCAGTCCTGTGATTGAGAGAGGCTGTTATTTTTTCCATCTTATATATGTTAAATGTTGTGTCGATCCAGTCATCTAAAGTTGGTTTGTCTTGTAATAACCATTTGTAATGTTTTTCTTACTTGCTGTTAATAAAATAGTCATCAGATATTTGTTTATTTTTGAAGCTGCTTGAGGAATTATGCCAAAATACATAAACTTGACATCCAAAGTAATGCCCCGCCTGATCAAATAATTTTTTWAATAAACTTTATGGCTCAGTTTAGCTCTAAAGATGTCATCCTTCATCCACTTCTCAGATGGTTCAAGTAGGACGTCTTGGCTGAAATTTTAAAGTAGCTTCACCAGATACAGAGGTCTGTGGTACACCTGCCTCCTCTCCTTTACCTTGATGTTAAGACTTGTATCATAATCTGAAAAATAAATCGTCTGATAACAGTCGATTCTTTTCTTTAGTGGCCCCTTGCTTTCTGCTCACCTGCGTACCGAGCGAAGATGTTATTGACCACCGTCTGTTCTCACAGGGAGGAGGCACGGATTGGCCAGCCCGGATCACCAGGAGGCAATGACCTCACCAAGGCGCTTCATCGCCTGTCGCTGCGGCGCCAGAACGTCCTGTCGGAGCGCCAGTTCTTCCTGGCCGAGCACGAGAAGAAGCTGCAGGCCCTGGAGAGTGCAGAGGCGGGCGGAGGTGGAGGCAGCGGCTGTAGTTCGCCRATGGGCAGCACGCTCTCTTCTTTCTCTAACCTGTCAGATCTGTCGCTTGGCTCCACTGTTTTCAAGACTTTCTTGCCTGAGAAGCTTCAAATCGTCAAACCCATGGAAGGTACGGTTCTGCTCTGGTGGTTCTGTTAAACTCAGCAGCTGATCCATGCAACAAAATTTACCAAGATTAAGACGTAAAATCTTGATTAGAAAGAGACAAACTGTAAACATGGAAAGGCAAAGGTTCCATTTAGAATCTAAAACAACTAATTGGTTTGAACTTGACTGAAGATTAGGACTTTTAATTTCTGCTCCAGCCCTGACATTTAGTTTGTTGCTAAAAAACTTTCAGTTGTAAAGCTTGTTTTTAAATTATATCCTGTTTTTTAGGGTCACTGACGCTCCACCACTGGCAGCAGCTCGCCAAACCCCACCTAGCCACCATCCTGGACCCGCACCCTGGGGTCGTGACCAAGGGTTTCCGCCCTCTTGCTCAGGACGCCGTCTACCACCTGTCYGACATGGAGGAGGACGAGGAAGGCGAGGAGCGTAACGAGGTCGCCGTCCTGGAGAAAGGAGCGGCTGAGCGGTGTAAGGAAGAGTGCGACGATGAAGAGGAGGAGGGCGGGATCACCTTCAACGTGTGCTGCTCGTCTACGCCGGAGGACAGGTGGGAGGGACGTCGCTCTGCGGCACCTYTCTCCCCAACTCTTCCTACTTCATCGGGTACACCTGCCTCCTCCTCTTCCAACCGATCGGATCTGTGTTTGACACCTGGACTTGTCGCAGAGAAGTCCGGTCCGTCTCCTCACATCATTTCAGGAGAATCTGCTCAAACACAAAGTCTAATTCCAACATCTGCAGCATCTTCCTGTGGTACTGTATCCCTTTAATTTATTGTTTTATGTTGCTGCCGTGGTGAGTTTCTCATAGATGTTGTGTGTTCAGTCCAGAACCCGGGGAAGTCTCAGAGCTCCACCTTCTCCACCTACACCTTCACAACCTGTCGCATTCTGCACCCCACTGACGTCACACAGGTCACCCCCAGGTAAATCATCTACTTAAGGCTGCGTCACACTGCAAGATTTTAAAACAGTCGGCCAATTTTCAAAGACTGAGAGAGTCCACACATGAGGATAAAAAATCATGGATATACCAGGTTTGGTCCTACAGTGTGCGGTGTATAGTCACACGGCAAGAGACAACACACCACACACGTAAAGATATTTCATTCATAATTCAGATGTCAGATATTAAATCACGCGAGACTTCCTGAAATCACGCGAGAATTCAGATGTCAGAGGAAAAATCTCCAGAGACACGTGAGTTCAGAGAAAATAAACATTTGTGACGAGGAAGAAACAATGTGGATCGTTTGTGGACTATTTTTACCAGAGGAAAAACAATTCCATAGGACTTTTAACATCCGGCAGACTTTCTGGTGAGTCATGACAGTTATTGTTTAYGTCACCTTGCTGTCTGATTGGCTACACGTCTCATTCAACAGGCTGCGAGCTCGGGTGAATGTCACACACACTGATAGGCCAAAAAATTAAACATGTTGAATATATCCGATTTGAGGTCGGAGCGATCCCGACGTCCTTCCAAGCTGACTAGATCACTCTTAACTCACCACCCACGGCAGGAATATCTGCTATGATTATCTTTAGAGCCATCACGATAATCTGGACTTCCTTAAGRTTGTCAGAAGGGCAAAAATCGGCATGATTATCTTTCCGTGTGACACAGGCCTTACAGGTAAATAACTGATCGCTAAGAAACACAAAGAAGGAGTTTTGTTTACTCAAACGGAGCAAAAACTAAATCCGGAGCTGACCGAGCAGCTTTCTGTGAAAAACCAAACCAGGTCTTATCTTTTTGAATGGACTAGAGCTGGAACTGTTCAGGATAAGATTTAGGCTGTTTGTCTTCTTGTTTTTCAGTTTCCTGTCATCCTGTTTGTCCAACACGCCCAGCTCCATGAGAACTGGTCCCAGTACTCCTGTGACCCCCTGCAGACTGAGTCTAGGTGACTCCTTCCCTCCTCGACGACCCCTCGCACCTTCCAGCGGTCTGGCCAAGCTGGTTCTAGAGAGGGGTATTTCTGCACAAGTCTCAGCCCACGCCCAGTCGTCTTTGGCAAGAGCCGCCCCGCGGCTCCGCCTCCTGCCGGGCACGCCTCCCAACTCCCCCTCCCACTCCCCCGTTCCCTCCCCGGTGCCGGTGGAGTCCCGCCAACAACCAGCTGACAATTTCCTCGCCTCGAGGCCCGCGGAGCTTTTTCTCCAAGACGTTTACGGCTTGAACTTAGGTCGGGCCCCGCACCCCGACCTGCCGAGCCCCTCCCAGGAAACAGCAGCCTTTGCCCCGCCTCCTAAGCCCGGTCCATCCAATCCAGACACGGCCAACGTGGGTCTGGTGGAGAGGCTGCGACGCTTGGGCTTTGCTAAGGTGCTTCACAGTTCGGAGTCCGCTGCCGCACCGCCACGTCAGGATTCTGCCACTCTAGTGTCCGCAGGCGGCGGGAGCCTGATGGACGGTCTGAGACGCAACCAGAGTCTCCCGGCTATGATCGGCGCCCGAGCAGGCAGCAAGTCGGCGGGGCACCCTCCTCACCCCACCTCCCTGGCCATACCGCCGCCACCGTGGGGAAACCTGAAAGAACGACGCCGGCGTCTCGCTTCCGCCTCCAACCCTCCAAGAAGTTCATCGAAACGCTGAGGAGATGTGGAGTGGATCGGCCAGAACCCTAACCTCCTCCACCGCAGCGCCGTCCTTTTTTAATTTAAAGCACAACGGAACAGTTTAGAAGAATACGTGTTCGCCATGACGCTCGGCCTTAGTAAGACTCTGGATGTTCGGGTCCAACTTTAAGGGGAAAAAGTGTAACGTGTAAGTGTCAGAAGGTCTGTGGATGTCTACGAGAAAGAAGTGAGGAGCAGAAAGGAAAGTATGTTTGATCTTGTAAGAAGACTGTGACGGAGTGAAACAGGAGCATCCAGAGTCTGGACATTCCAAGGGCTTGTTATGTAACGTTCTGGAAAATCTTTAGTCTGTAATTGTACAGGTATCATGCCAGCCAATAACAACAGTTTAAAGAAATCTGCTTCAACAAACTTAAACAGCATACTGCCACTCAAATCTCATATTTAGACCGCGCCTTTGAACGTGTTGGTATTTCTGTTTTTTTCTTCAACATAAGTGGCTTTACAGTGGTCCATTGCTGCACAGTGTCTGGTTGTGCCGTGGCCACATGTCTGCATGAAGAGCAACCTCGCCTACAGGTTCCAGCATGCATCTGTTGGCCGACAGGTGGGGAGCCAGGTCAAAGCTGAGGTCAGTACCAAATCAAACGCCCCAACGTTAAAGAAAAGGGATGGTTTCAGCTTCAGGTTCTTGTTTTGTCTACTTTTGAGGGTATGAGGCCTTAAGTACTGTTTGCATTTGAGTTTTTGCTAAGCTATTTATTTATTTTTTGTTTTGTTTTGTTTAAATATATATATTTGTTGCACTCGATGGAATCATTTTTTTAATAATGGTCTCGCTTTTCAGCCATGGTGCATGTCTGAGAGCTCAAGTTCAGTTTAAAAAGGGAAAAATCAAAATTTTAAGTTTCCAAAGTTGTAAAACTCATCTGATAAATACCAGGGATGTGTACAGTTCAATCATCGGCCACCAGGTGTAGGTGTTCTAACATAGAAACAGGAAAAAGGCATATTTTACTTGATGTGTGACCATTTCTACTTCTAAACCCTCATTAACTGCACAATAACTTTATTTTTACTTACTACTGTTTAAAACATTATTAAGAACATTTTTGACTTTTTTTGTTTGTTGTAGAAACATAAGCTAACATTTGATGTATGTAACACTTTTTTTTGTTTTTCACACAATGGAAATCCATAATGAAGTAAAATGTTTTTATTTTTGACAAATATTCTAGCACGTTTGAAGATTGAGGTAACATTCAGGATTTAAAAAGAGAAAAATGCGGAGAGGAGAAAGGTAACTTTTAGAAATTTAGTTTTGTGTTTTTCTGCCCTAAATCTGAAAATGTCCAAACCTCTCCCAGCCATGATCCTCTTGTGGCCAAATGTCAGATGCCTCCCTCTCTTCTTTTTAAATAAAACAATAAAAATAAAACAAATGTCTCTGGTTTTATAGGATTCAGATGTGATGGAAGTTGTGCCCAAAGAGAAGGTTGCACCTGGGTCAGGAACTCGTCATAAAGACGCAGGGACACGATCCAAGAGCTGTCCGAGGTCTTCAGGGACAAGATAGATCCACACAAGTCCAGAAAAGTTACAAGGCCATCAGCAAGATGTATGTCAGGTCAACTATTTGTGTAGTTAGTATTAACTAAATATAAGATGACTAGGATCTTGCCTCATGGGGTACCACTGACAACAAACTACACTGTACTGCACATATCAAAGTCGAGGCACATGGGCCTGCTGGGCAGCATTAACCATAAACTACATTTTCCATATAATGCTTGTTGTTTATTTTACCCACAAAATGTTCTAGTACACTTTGTAAGTTGGAAATTCCCACTTACAAGTTGTAAATTTAAACTGGAAAACCCCTCCAGTGGGAACTCCCTGTTGGAAAGTGTGTTTATAAGAAGATATTTTAAAACTCTGTTTCAGAGGTCACCAGTACGGTACCCACGGAGGCTTTCTGAGTCGCCCGCAGGACACATTCTAAAAATAGCACTGATCGACTGACCGTCATAGAAGCAGCACACTAAATGTTGAACGATGGAACTAAAAGTCACCTGTGTGCTCTTTGGAACTTTTATTAACAAAACACTTTCCAAAGAATGTCAACAAGAGCTGCTGTTAAAGCCACGTCTCCCATTAAACCCCCGTTAAACACAACAAGCTCTCAACAAGTTCTCTCCTGCGTCTGTCTCCGAGTCCTCTGCAGACTGCAGCTCGTCACAGGCACACACTGAACTCCACACCCAACGCCCACCCTTTGGAAAATTAACCCTTAGAGCACAGAGCTTGTTTACCTCTGTGCAGAGGGGAAAAGAGCATTAAAACATAGGGAAAAAAATGTTCACAATGATTGGGAGAAAATTATTTCGGTACTTGTTTTTTATGTATCTACAAGAGTTAGGAATGATGAGCACAAAGGACATGAGTTAAATATTTTACTGGTAAAAGTTTATTTTAAAAAATGGAAAATAAGTTACCATTTTCTTAAAGAAATGACTACACTTTTTTTAAACAGGTGTAGTTTAAATAAATGTTACAAATGTGTTCATTCCTACAAGCTGTTTAGCATTTTTATCATTTTATTTTTTACATTTACAAAATACACAAAATTATTAATGTTAATAGAGATTAAATAAGAAATTTTATGTTTAAATTTGTGTTTTCTGCTATAAAAAATATCCATCCATTCTGTCCTTGTTCAGGGTCAGGGTGGGAGCTGGAGCCTTTCTCAGATCTCAGACCATCACAGGGACACAGACAAAAACACAAACAACTATCCACACTCCGGTCACACTGAAGACCTCCAAAAGGGTTTCAAACTGGGAACTCTAGAATCAGATCCCCCTGCTGCTTCACAAAGTTTAAATTACTTATTATTAATAATAA